TCCAGGCAGAGGAGGGGGAGGGGGTATCCCCACTCCGGGCAGAGGAGGGGGAGGGGGAACCCCAAGTCCAGGTAGAGGAGGGGGAGGGGGTATCCCCACTCCGGGCAGAGGAGGAGGAGGGGGTATCTCCACTCCTGGCAGAGGAGGGGGAGGGGGTATCTCCACTCCAGGCAGAGGAGGGGGATGGGGTACCCCGAGTCCAGGCAGAGGAGGGGGCGGGGGTATCCCCACTCCAGGCAGAGGAGGGGGCAGGGGTATCTCCACTCCAGGCAGAGGAGGAGGAGGGGGTATCTCTGCTCCAGGCAGAGGAGGGGGAGCAGGCATGCCCACACTGGGAAGAAGAGGTGACCCTGTACATGGCAGGGGAGAGCTGTGAGGCATGGGAGAGGCAGGAGATGCAAGCTGGACACCTGGCAGAGGTGGGGGAGGAGGTATTCCTTCACCAGGCAGAGGTGGGGGAGGCGGTGGCAGCATTTCTGCAGTACTAAGAGGTGGATGGGAAGTCTGTGAGCCAAGCTGTTCTTGAGCATCAGACCATGGACAGGATGGAGGTGGCGGAGGCTGTGATATGCTTGGAATAGATGGAGGTGTGTCAAGCTGCATGGCTATTAGCCTTGGAGACACTATCAAGGAAATCTCTGAGCAGAATGTTGTCTGAGGTCCAGAAGCTGAGGATGGCAAAGCTGACTCCATACTCTCAGTCCCCTGTGAGCATGGGAGACACTCTGGCAGAGTATTCAAAGAAGCCACAGGTGGCATCCCACCCTCTACTGTCGGAGAAGTCTGGATTGATTTTGCCTCTAAAATCCTTTGATGCCCTGCATCCTTTTCTTCTAATCTGAGAGCTTCGAGACAGACGACTCCTGCAGGCATTACTCCATTCCCAACCTCAGGATGGCCCACGGTCACCTCCGAGTCCATAGCAGGGTATTGCTTCTCTAGTTCAGCGATTTTGGACCTCAGATTTTCAATGGTTTGTTCCAGTTGCTGAATCACAGTCACCTGGCCCTCAGACTTCATGTCAAAAACGTCCTGAGAAGCAGCAAGAACAGCATAGTTAAATTTGAAGGCGAGAAAAAAAATTCAAATATCAAAAAAAGACTTACAATATTGAGGAAAAGCATATTTGTTTAAAACATTTCTACAAAGATCCCTGCAAAGAAAGACACTATTAATATTTCTATGTATTTCCTTTAACACGCTTATTTTAAATATGGTTTAGACATATTACCTTAGAATCCTAAAGTCTATGGATTGCTTAATCTTTAAATGATTTAACTTAAGGGCAAGCAGATAACCTACTTCTGAAAAATCAGCTACTGAAAACCCCTATGGAGTATAATTCTAGTTTGACACACAAAGGGTCACCCACAAGTTAGAGTCAAGTTAATCGCAACTGGCTGGTTGACAGGTAACTGAGTCCACCAAAGATCTATAGAATTAAAATATGAGTAAACAATTATTTCCAAAGATAGGTCTTTCTCTTCCTGCCATCAGGATACTTACTACCTAAACATGTACCACTTTTAGAAGTAATCACTGAATAAGTCGACAGTAAGAGTATGTGAAACACTTTTGATAATCTGCAAGGGCATGGATTTACATCATGAGCAGGTGCCTTACCCTTTGTATTGTATTCTCTACAATTTTAGTATTTTACCAAGGAATTTTGAGATATGATAAATGTAAGATTTTCCATAATTTCCAAAGAAGGTAGCTGACATCTGTTAAGCTACTTTTTTATTCATCTTCACATCAAAATAGTGTCTGCGTTTGCCACAACACATTAGACCCAGTATCCTCCAAGGGAAGATATATGTAGTTGTTAGGTGCGGTTGAGTTGGTCGTGGCTCATAGTGACCTTATGAACAACAGAACAAAACATTGCTCAGTCTTGTGCAATCCTCACAATCACTGCTACTTTTGAGCCCATAGCTGCTGTCATTATGCCAATCTATCATATTGGGGAGGTCTCCCTCTTTTTTCACCGACTCTCCATTTCACAAAGTGCGATGTCCTTCTCCAGGGATTGGTCCCTCTTGATAATATGTCTGAAGTATGAAAGACAGATTCTGGTTATCTGGGCTGTACCTCTTCCAATATAGATTTATTTGTTCTTCTGTCAGTCTATGGTACTTTTAATATTCTTCTAAAAACCCTGAACACAAGTGCATCAATTTTTCTATGGTGTTCCTTATTCACTGTCCAACTTTCACATGCAAATGACATTTTTGAAAATACCATGAGTTGGATGAAGTGCACCTTAGTCCTCAAACTGACATCTTTGCTCCTCAACACTTTAAAGAGGTCTGTGCATCAAATTTGTCAAAGGCAATCCATCCTTTGATTTCTTGATTACTGCTTTCCATGAGTGTTGAGAGTTGATCCAAGCAAAACTTGTCTTTGACAAGTTCGTCTTTTATCTATCTATCATGATACCAAGGAGCTCGGGTAGCGTAGTGCTTACTAATCGGGCTGCAAACTGCAAGGTCAGCAGTTCAAAACTACCAGCTGTTCTGCAGGAGAAAGATGAGACTTTCTGCCTCCATAAAAATTTACAGCCTCGGAAACCCTGTACAGGGTCGCTATGAGTCGGAACCAACTCCTCGGCACATAACCAATATCATGATACTATTTATTGGTCCTAGTGGTGAGGATTTTTGTTTTCTTTACATTGAGTTGCAAGTCATACTGAAGGCTGTGGTCTTTGATCTTCATCATCTAGTATTTTAAGTCATTTTAGTTGTCAGCAAGCAAGAGTGTTATTATCTGCATATCACAGATGGTTAATGAGTCTTCCTCCGTCCTGATGCCATGTTCTTCTTCATATAATCCAATTTCTCAGATTATTTGCTTGGCATACAGATAGAATAAATATGGTGAAAGAATACAACCCTGGCACACACCTTTGCTGATTTAAAAATGTATATATATTTAGGGCAAGTACAATTTAATCCATAACTATATATGTGCACGTGTGCCTGTAGGAGTCCTGGTGTGGTGCTGTAGGATAAGTACTAGACTGCCAATCAAAAGGTTGGCAGTTCAAACATACCAGATGCTCCTTGTAAACACTGTACAGGGTTACTATGAATCAGAAGTGATTGCATGGGATTTAACAACAACAACATATATATGGTACTATTGTGACATACATACATATATTTAATCATGGATTGGAGTCTTGGTGTAGCGCTATAAGACATGCACTTAACACAAGGTTGGTTTGAACCATAAGATTGATGGTTCAAACTCACCAGCCAATCATAGGAAACCCTATATAGGGTCTCTGTCAGTCGGAACTGACTCAACAGCACCTAACAACAACAGTCATGGATTCAACTGTATTCCCCCAAAATATGTGTCAGCATGATGCCCCACAATGTTCTCTGATATGATAAGCCAATAAGAGGGTTAAGGGTGGGACTCCTGATGTAGCTTTGCTGGATAAGTGCTGGACTTTTAACCACAAGTTCAGCAGTTCAAACCCACCAGCCACTCCTCAGTAACCCAATACAGAGTCACTATAAGTCATAACTGACTTGACTGCACTTAACAACAAAAAACCTACCACCCTTAATCCCACCACAATCCCAGACATGCAACAACTTTTATCTTACAAGAGATAAAAAAAAAAGAAAGAGATGTGAGGAGAGAGTGACCCTCTACCACCAAGAAAGACGAGCCAGTAATAGAGTATTTGGACCTGGGATCCCTGCTTTGTGAAGGTCCTAAGACAAGCCAGTAATAGAGAGTATTTGGACCTGGGGTGCCTGCTTTGTGAAGGTCCTAGACCTTGGGAACAGTTTATGCCAAGACACATGGATAACTCCAAGCAATGTTCAAATATGACTAAGATATATACAGGACTTTTTTCTTCCTAAAAATTTCTGTATATATCTTAGTTAACTAGTGCTGCTCTACATGTTGTTGTTAAGTGCTGCCGAGTCGATGCTGACCCATAGTGTTTCCAAGGAAATGCTGGTGAGCTTGAACCGCCAGCCTTGCAGTTCAAACTGACTTTGCAATCCAGCGCATTAACTGACAGCACCACACCAGGACTCACTCGCTCACATACATATACCACGCATACATGCATACACACACACACACATACATACAAACATATACACATGCACACACACATACATACATACACACATACATACATGCATACACACACGCATACATACACAACACATCCATACATGCACCCATACATACATACATCCACCCATACATAATACTACATCCATACATACATATTACATACATAATACATACATGCACAATACATACATACATACATACATACACCCATACACCCATACACCCATACACACATACATACATACATACATATCCTGGGGTAGAGCTGTAGGATAAGTGAAGGACCACAAGGTTGGTTTCAACCAGTGAACCACAAGTTCGGCAGTTTAAACTCACTAGTCACACCTTGGAAACCCTATAGTATGTCGCTATGGTTTGGAACTGACTTTATGGCATTTAACATATATATACACATGGACTCTGGTAACGTAGTGGTTACGAACCGGGCTGCGAACCTCAAGGTCAGCAGTTCGAAACTGACAGCTGTTCCACGGGAAAGATGAGGCTTTCTGCTCCCATAAAGATTTACAGCCTTGGACACCCTGTACAGGATCGCTATGAGTCGGAACCCACTCCACAGCATATAACAACAACAATAACAAATATGTATATCTATCTATCTATCTATCTATCTATCTATCTATCTATCTATCTACATCTGTATCTATATAGATATATATACATACACATACATGTATGCTTGCTTACTCTGGGAAAAGGAAGAAAAAAGTCCTGTAGGCAAATTAAATATGAATAAAACATGAGTAAAGAGAAGAAAGGGCTATATGAACAGCAGCTAAGTGCCCTAATGTGGTGCTGTAGGGTACACATTGGACTGGTACCTACAAGGTTGGCAGTCCAAACTTACCAGTCACTCATAGAAATACTATGCAAGGTCACTATAAGTCAGAACCAACTCAACAGCACTTAACAACAGTAACAAGGGAAATACAGAAGAAGGAAGAATGGGTAAAGAGAAAGGAAGAAATGCAGGAAGAGTGGAAGGTAGAAGGGAGGGAAAACCCAGCTGTATGTGAGCTGCAGTATGAAACTGCAGCACCAGAGTAGGATTTGCTCCCTCAGAACGCACGGAGAAAGAAGGAAAGCTGAGCGTTCTCTTGCTGTGAACTGTTTCTTATTTGTGTTTCAGGGCTTTTCAAAGATGATGCCCACCAAACCACTACCATGGAGTCAGTCATTTCGACTTCATAATGACCTTATAAGACAGAACGGAACTGCTCCACAGGGTTTCCAGAACTCAGTCTTGATGGAAACAGTCAGCCTTGTCTTTCTACTGAGGAGTAGCTGGTGGATTTGAACCACTACCTTGAGGTTATCAAGCCAATGCTTAACCCACTCAGCCATCAGGGTGCCTCTGATACCCAATAGAAGTCACTGTAAAAAGCAACAGGACCGGAAGAAGTATAGGCACAGTGGCATTGGGGGTTGGAGCGCTGCTTTCAGCGGCAAGTCTGAGGAAGGGGCGGCAGGCACTATCAAGAAGAAGCCCCTGAAACAACCCAAAAAACAGACTAAGGAAATGGACGAGTAAGGTAAGGCTTTCACGCACAAACAGAAAGAAGAGCAGAAGAAACTCAAAGACCTAAAAGTGAAGGCCGTGGGGAAGGGCCCCTTGGTCACAGGTGGAATTAAGAAATCTGGCATCAAAATAAGCTGTTCTTTGTGACTGTGGCAATGGTGACCCTTGATTCCATTTCTGTTTAAACATTTGAATTCCCTAATGGAACATCTCTTGCCACCTAGAGTTAGACTGAAGTATTGTCTTGGAGCCTGTTGTACATATAAGAAAAAAAAAAAAGAAGAAGAAGAAAAGAAATCCTACAATGGTTCATCTCTTCAGTCCTATCTTAGCTGTGTGGTCAGTAAGCCCAGGCCAGAATCCTGCCAGAGCTGCTCTTCAA